GTTGCGAAAACAAGGTCAAACAACTTCTATACAACGAAAGGAGACTGCGACCACACAAAAGGCCACCCATCTTAGTCTTCATAGCTTCAAATCACTTTATACTTAATCAAAGAGGCCACTTTTTACGGATTTGCCGGTGAGTTTTCTTGATTCGTTAGCTTGAATTTTGTTGTGACGATGATACCTCGTTCTAATGTCTGTGAAATGACGGACGAAAGCTTAGCACCTTTTCACCGGGATCGAAGGAGATTATCTTGAAAACAGCGTCAGCATGAATCTTCCAGTAAAGTCAATCGACAACTGGTCAAGAAGAATCCGCCGTCGTTTTCTGGTGGAACCAACCTTCTAATCTAGTCTTTTCTTGTCTTGGTTCTAATAATAGTCACTTCTCTGCGCCTTTTGCTCACTTTTTCTCTCTCGCATAAAGACCAAAAATAAAAAATAGGCTCATCAAAAAAAACCAGACGTGGGCCCGACCTTAGGCAATTGGAGTGATGGCTATAACATGTATGTAGAAAGGGGGAGATAGTGGTCATCAAAACTTAATGGCTGAAAACAGACGTTACCTTTGCTGTACTAATTACTTTGAGACATCACTACGGGTTTCAGGCATAAGCAAACACAAACAGGTACATACACATACAGAAAAAGACACACTCACAGGCTTCGAAGTTGACATATGACCGTAACTATCCAAATCACTTTATACCTGAGTAGAGCATATATTGAGCTTTTTAGGGATATGCAAGTGAGTTTTCTTGACTCACTAGCTTGAATTTGGTTGTGACGAGGATATTTTGCTCTGATAATGGACGAAAGCTTAGCACCTTTTCGCCGAATTAGAACGAGATTACCTCGGAAGCAACGTCACCGTAAGTGTTCCAGTAAAGCCAATAGACAGGTGATCAAGAGGAATCCGCCGTCGTCTTCTGGTGAAATTGACCTTCGAATCTCTTCAGCAAACACTTTCACTCGAAATGGAAGTAAGCTCAACAATTATGAAACAAGAGATTCCTCGAGACCAAACTTTTATTTGCATTTAATTAAATAATTGAATATATGAACACCATGTTGGTGTGTCCTCCGGTATGGTCGCATTTTTCTTTCGATTTATTAAAGTGGTTTGACGACATTGTCGCTACTTGGTCTTCTTGTGTGAGAGGCTTAGGAGAATGCACTACTATGGCAGAGGACTTCAGACTAGGTGCGTTCTACTGTCTCCTGGACAACAAGACCAAGTTGAGACAATGAGGTCAACCCACTTCTTAAATTAATCAGTCTTAATCCTGGCGACAAAACAAATCCTCGAAAATTGCAAGCAGCCATACGTGTCCATTATTTTTGAAAGATTAGCTTGCAAATAAAGCTTTGCCCACTGAGAATATCCTTTTAAAGTTTTATAGTACCCGAAGAATATGCACTAGTCATTGGCCAAAAATACAGCTTATTAAGTAATTATTTTAAATTAAAATGAGTGTAAATGGCAGGGATAATATTTATCATGAAGAAAAGTAAAATGTTTTGGCAATGCTGTAAGAAATCCACTTATGGACGATGATCTGAAAATGATGCTTTGAAGGATCACCTAAGCACATGTAACGTACTAGGAAATATTCAAAGGAAAATTTTAAAAGCATAATAAGCCGAGATCAACGCCTGTCTGTTCTATGCAGAAAAAAGCCCTACAATAGTAAATGGACTATAAGACACATCAAAAGTCACCTGATTCTTTACCACCGGAGGCAGCTGGTAATGGTCACCAATCATGATCCATCTCTTTAGGCGATTTGCACCTGAAAGATCAGGGTTCTGTAAGAGCAAAGGGATAAAAGTCTCAATCTCGAGGATTTGAGCAGCTTCTTCCATCACAATAGTGTCGTAGGTGAAACCAAGTTGAACAAGGTCGCGTCGACGCAAAGCAGCGTGGGTACAGGTCATTGCAACAATCTTAGCCTCTTGTACAAGCAGATAATTTGTGCGCTCCAGTCCAGTGCGCATAAGCTCGAAGGCTCGAAACTCATCAAGCTCAGCGAAAAGCGACTCAATATGTCGAAAGCAGGCGCGAGCAATCGCCATGTCTTCTACGAAGCTGTGACCCTATTTAGCAGATAGGAAAAAATCCAGGAAAATTAAAGTTTATAAGGCAGGATAATTGCTACCATGAAAAGTTAAGTAGATGAGAAATCGGAAAAAGCGTAATGAACGATCTAAAAATAAATAGAAATATAGCTTTTTTTGTTGCAAATCCCAAAAGTGTCCCCAATCAGGGTGAATAATAGTTTGGAAAGCACCTTTATTGAAAAGAAAACATATGTTTCCCATAAAATTCGAAAAGTCTAAGTAGGCTCACACAAACTCCGTAAGCAATGGAGTTAGAACTGAATGTTTTCGTTTCTAACAAGGCTTTGAGGGAAAATTTAGCCACATCTCATGTATGACGATAGTGCGTTTGTTTCGAGTCTAAGAGCCCCGAGCTTTACTATCTTAAGGGGTATTGATCGTGCTCATGCATAGTCGAAATTGCAGTTAGTCCTGGATGAGAACGCATTCTGGCATATACTACAAAATGAATGGTGAAAACAAAGTTTTTTCATCAGCCATCCGTGCCTGAAATTGGCATCACATCCATAATATAGAAATAATAGGACCACCAAATATAAGTTTTCTGTGAAGGGTAATTACCCCCATTTCGTTTAAGGTGATAGGGGGACTAGTAATTGAATTTTCCTCATAATTATGAGTCGACCTTACATTTCTATTTGACTTCACATATCATTGCTTTACCAAAAGGTATTCTCATCCAGGGTTAACTACAACTTCGACCTCGCCTGGGTTATATCAACACGACACATTAATCACTACACAACAGTGCCACGAGTCCTCTTGGGTTACAGGGCAGATGTGAATTTTAAGAAACGTCAGGTATTTTTCTGTATCACATTCTGTGTTGGGATTATTAATGAAGAAAAGTTGTATTTGCTATAGCAATCAAATAAGTTATTTATGTTTCGTGTATAGGTAGGTTCTCTAGGCTACCAGTGGGATATATATATGTATATATATATATGTATATGAAGTGAATTCATTCTACTTCGTTTGAGATGATAAGGGGACTGGAGAGGTCAAATGTAAGATCTACTCTTATCATTATGGGAAAAATTCAACTACCAGTCCCTTTATCACCTGAAACAAAACACAGTGAATATACTTCATATATAAATGACTTACTGGTAGTCTCGAAAACCTATTTATAAAAAAAAACAAGTTTAATCGAAGTTAAGAAGACCAAGAAGGTGAGGCCTTTTGTATTGTCGCCGGCGGAACGTCTAGGAATGCACCCTTTTTACGGTCCGACTCTGGAAATTATCATGCATACTATGGACTCTGGACTTGGTGTGTTCCTCTAGGTCTTCCTACAAATATGACTAAGTTGCGAAAACAGGATAAAACATAACGAAAGCCTAAGTAACTTCATTGGCGGTTGTCTACACATTCCATTCATTGTCACACCCCTTTCCCCCGTCTACACTCATCTACCATTTCGGGAGCGAGATCTAATTACTGTTTACTAAGGGAGGTCATTACTACCCCAATATACGATAAGTATTACGAGTACGTTAGTAAAAAGTAAAAAGTAATGTGGGGGAAAATGGAAAGGATTCTAATAATCCCATTAGATATATTTAGAATATAAACAGTGAAAACTAAAGGGCAATCGGTTAAAAGGTAAGACATAAGAAGGGTGAAATGCTTTAAATAGCATAATCCTAATTAAAGTATTGCCGAAGTCTTGAAAAAATGACGTCGAGGAAAAATCGTTCGAAGAGTCTACGAAAAATTTGACTACAGATTATTTACTAAAAAATTGTAGCTCATGAAGGTAAACAGCAACAGATAAAATTGTAATTATATACTGTGTAATTTGAAATGTTTATGGAATTATGATTAAAGTATAGTTCAAACATTTCCACATTCCTAAAGATATAGGTTTCAAAAGCTGAAAAGCCAGAAGCACACAATGACGTTAAAAGCCAAAATATATACAATGGAAATGCAAATTTAATGCGAAGAGTCAACAGCAACGATTGGCTAAGATCTATAAGAACGATATTTACAGTTAAATAATTAATTTTATAGGAGCATACAATTATCAGTAAAATAAATTTGTGCAATTATTTCTTGTATATATTTATAGAATGTTAGAGATTCATAGTAGTGACCTGGTTACCCCTCCAAAATATAAAACAGAACCAATAGGATTGAGAGATTAGATGCAAAAAACTCACTGGGAATAGTTCTTTCCTAATGTCTGATGTAGGCTGCTTGAGGCCAGTAAAGAATTCCGTAAAGGGAAATGCTTTGCAGACGCCCTCGGGATCGTAGCAAGACTCCTTTGAAATACTGGTCTTCTCTATATCTTCCCCATCTTCCTCAGTAAGTGTGATTGGTTCACTAGCCCTGATCGCAGATTCATCTAGTTCCATTGGTTCACTGAATTGTGCATTCATCAAGGGCGGGGCAGGTGCCATCTCACTTGAAATTGAATCGAAATTGGATTCATATTTCGGCAACTGAATTTCGTTGGTTTCCCCCTCAAGGGGATCGTTAATGACCTCATCGACGCTAATACGATTTCCTGACTGTAATTTCTCTGGTTGCTGCAGCTGCTGTTGTTCTTGTTGCTGTTTTTGCTGTAGTAGTTTTTGTTGGTAGGCTAACATCTTGCCAGCAAATGCTTCCCAGCGAGAAAGCACCTCCTGGACGAAGAAGTACTGTGCGGTCTCGCAGGTATGCAACGGCATTTGAAGATGAGCGCGGGGCGTCTTTGTGGCCTCAGGTGGAGGCTGAGGTTGAGATGCAGGCTTTTTTTCATG